AGCTGATACTCGAGAAAGGCCAATAAAAGGATAAAACCGACCAAGAGCGAGATGGAAACTTGAAGAGATCTGTATACAATAACAACCAACTTTCACACGCGGACGAAAAAGGATCTTTACCAGAAAAAATAAATGTAACGAAAAAGTAGAATAAATATTTTGGGTAATAAATACAAAAAGAGAATAAATATTTTTCGGTGATAATGAAATCAAAACTTCACACCTTTTTCTTTTCACTGTCATTTACGTATTTACCATCTGGGACATAAAAAAAAACATTCATCTGAAAAATGTCGGTGACAACGTGACCCAAAATATATGAACTACTTAGCTGTGTATACTAAACTTTGCATAGCAAGGTACAAGGCCACGAATTGAGAGCATCAGTTTACTTCAGAAGGAATGGTCTGCGATGCTAATACCATCGTGCCCGACGATGATTTAGTCAGTATCGACTTCTCGTGTTATTCTCGTTTCTCATCTCATGAGAAGCTGGAAATTATTTTAAAATGTTTTACAGAAATCTCATTGGAATAGTGAAAAATGCCTTCCAAAAACTAAACAAGGTATTAAGAAACAAGAAAATTGTTGTATTCTCTTTCTTTTGTCTTCATCCCGAACGAGTGGCGAAATGTTTTGGGATCCAGGGATGGAAGACATCAACACAGTAATAATTTTAAACTTTTAAATTTTTTTAATCACGTCAGTGTTACATGTCTAACTACCTAGTGGGATCATTCCCCCTCCACTGGGGAGCCGTTTCAGACACGAAAGAAAACACGTCTCTATTGTTTGACGGTTAAGAAACAACTCACTGAAAAACCTTTATCCATCGTTCTCACGCTTGTTCAACCAATCAAAATAGACTTGCTTTCTCTTCCATCTGACCTCAAAGGTCAACCTCAGGAAGTCCGAGCAGAAATACATTTCCTCGAAAAAAATAATAGTCTGTTAAACTATTATTTAACAAAATTACATTAGAAACAAAAAAATAAATACTGAACTGTTATGTAATACCAATCCTTCTATATAAGATTGAATCTTAAATATTGTCACAGAAGACAGGAGACTTGGGACAAGAAAGAGGCAGTCCTACTGAAAATTGCTTAAACCTTTTTTCCTTATAACTACTATTTCAAAGACTCTACTAGTAAAAAAATATTCGACCCTAGAAAGGAAATAATACTTAAAACTGACGCAAGTGAACACACAATTTCCGGAATATTAGCTCATGATAGTCATCCTATTATGTATCTGTCGAGAAATTTGTCAAAAGCAGAATCGAACTATTCAACTAGGGAGAAAGAAGAATTGTCCATAATATGGGTGACAAAAATAGAGCGAGTCAGTTTTTTTGGGTTTTTTTTTTTTTCATTGAAAAAAATTCCTACTAAGGTCCGATCATAGACCTTTAGAATTCATATTTAGTCCCAGAAATAAACTTCCTATGGTAACGTCCTCCAGAATTCTAAGATAGGCCTTAATGCTAATTGCGTTTAACTTTGATATTGAGTTACGTGAAAGACAATACCATTCCACATGTAGACGCTTTGTTGGGATAGAGGTTCATTACTTCTGAAAGTGAGAAAGAGAAGGAAACATTCGAAGATACTTTCTTACACTGGGTCGCAACTGATATTTTCTCGGTAGACAAGTTAGCTGAGGATTCGAAACGCGATCCCATATTGAAAAGTATATTATTGAGGTTAAAAATAATGTGGAATAATTGCTCACGAACAGAAAGGCGTTTTGAAGAGGTTAAACACAAGTTTACCGTAGAAAAGGTTGTAATTTGTAATGGAAATGTAGTGGTTCCACCAGCAACGCAAAGGAGCAAAAATATAAAAAGCATACATGACGATGCTCATTGCAGAATAACATCTACACAAAGGAGATTAAGGCGAGAGCCATGGTGGCCAGGCTATTCTACAGATCTAGAATACATAAAAAGTTGTAAAATATGCAAGGAAAGAAAAATTCAGACAGGCAAAACACATATATGACCTAAAGAGTCCCAACCTTGGGACAGAGTACACATGGATCATGTCCATGTTAATGGAGGGGGGTTATTACTAATACTGGTAACCAGAAGTAATACAAGTATCCTAACAAAACGATTCCGACCGTGAAACAAGCCTTAATGCTCATATTTTCAAAAAATGGAATTCCGAAAACGCTAGTATCTAACAATGCCCCAGAGTTCTGTGACGAGGAACTATGCCAATGGTTGAACAAAATTGGATGCAAACCAAATAAAACACCACCGTACCATTCGCAATCAAACGTATTAGCAGAAAGGACGGTGCAAACTATAAAAAACTGGATTAAAAATATGTGCACAACGGAAAGAAAAGGAACATTTCTTCCTAGATTGCAAAGCTACAGGACAATACCACATACTGAAAGATTAAAAAGCCCATCCGTTCTCGTGGTTAGACAAATTAGAGCCCCATTGACCATGTCCTATGATGCCAATGAAGAAGTATTGTATAAAAAGAATAGTGAATCTAATCTACAAGAGGCAAGATCTATAATGCAAAGTGGGCAGAACACTATGATAATAAAAATAATGGAAATGGAATATTAACATATGGAGACCAAGTTAGATTGCAACATGATAGCAATGAAGAAATGTATAGTTAGCTTAAAATTAATGAAGGCAAAAGTGTCATGTGAAGGCAAAATAAACTAGACAGTAAAATTGAAAGTAATAAAGACTCTGAAAGTGAATAAGGACAAACATTGGAGGAACAGTCATATGAAAATAGAAGGAGGTTGAGATCTTCCATATCTAGACAATGTCTTATGGAGAAAGACGAAGATAGTGAGGAGACAAAAGCTCCCAGAAAAAATACCAAAGAAAATAAGGGGATAAAACCTTTTTACTACAAGAATAGTGAATCTAATCTACAAGAGACAAGATTCATAATGCAAAGTGGACAGAACACTATGATAATAGAAAAGAATAGAAATGGGATATTAGCACATGGGGACTGATATGTCCCGGAAAGGGATATATTTGAACGAAGTAGCTAAGTGGTTTTGACTACTATAACCAAGTAGAATACGGTAACAGTAATCGACTGGTACGCGTCGTAGTCGCAGGTAAGAAGTGTAGATCAATGGCGTAGTCCAATGGGCGTCGTTATAGACTTAGCTCTCAGACTAAGGCAGTTTTGACTCACCCACACGTCCGTCGGTATTTATGACGGACACCAGCCAATCATATTCCAGTAAGGGGAAAACAGGTGTATGCATATTCCATTATATTCATATATATATATATATATATATATATATATATATATATATATATATATATATTGATATGTCCCAGAAAGGGATCTATTTGAACGAAGTAGCTAAGTGGTTTTGGCTACTATAACCAAGTAGAATACGGTAGCAGTAATCGACTGATACGTGTTGTAGTCGCAGGTAAGAAGCGTAGATCAATGGCGTAGTCCAATGGGCGTCGTTATAGACTTAGCTCTAAGACTAAGGCTCTGACTCTGTTGTACCTACACGTCCGTCTGTATTTATGACGGACACCAGCCAATCATATTCCAGTGAGGGAGAACACAGGTGTATGCATATTCCATTATATCAGAGACCAAGTTAGATTGCAACATGATAGCGATGAAGAAATGTATAGTGAGCCTGAAAGTAATGAAAGCGAAAGTGTCATGTCAGGGCAAGGCAAACATGACAATGAAATCGACAGTGATATAGACTCTGAAGATAAACAGTTGTTGGAGGAACACTCCTATGATAAAAGAAAAAGATCACAATCTCCCATATCTAGACAATCTCTTAAGGAGAGGGGAGAAGATAGTGAAGAGACAAAAGCCCCCAGAAGAAATACCAGGGTAAATAAGGGGATAAAACCTCTTCAGTACAAGGAGATGAAGTAACTCATTTACATATGAAGTCCCAAAAACTGTAAATAGATACATCTATTACCCATTAGGCAGTTGAGTGCATACTACTTCCCGTAAGTCAGGAACACTACACTTTTTTTAATATCCCCACATTTGCATGAACCAAAATATATTTAGATACTTAAAGTGAGAGAATTTTATTACTGATTACTGTTTTTATTTCAGAGTGACAAGAATGGCTCGGAATGATACAACACCTGACACAGCATGAGCATTGGTCAGCTACCATCCCGTCACGAAATGCGGCAGCCTGTAGTCCAAGTGCTGAGATGGGGGCGATGTGTTAATGGAGTTCGTGCCTCACTACATACCAAAAACATGAGAAATTCCTATTCCAAGCTGATGAGTACGGGACATGTGGTAGATACCCACAGAAACAACAGAGGCAGGGATCATAAAAGAAGAAGAGGATAATCTCGAATTATTTCTCAAAACATTTTCTTTTCAATGTCGACTTGGAAACGTGTCTTCGGGAATTTCAATTCCGTCTGGCGGACAGTTATACCGAAAATATCTCAGAACAAAAGTGGCGATGTATTTTCGTAGTGTGTGTAACTGCTATGGAAGCAAATGTGTAAATCGAGAAAGAAATCACGTACTGAATGTGTGCCTCTGTGTGTGTGTGCGCGTGCGCGTGTGTGCGCGTGCGCGTGTGTGCGCGCGTGTGTGTTTGTGTATGTGTGTGTGCGTGCGTGTGTGTGCGCGTGTGTGTGTTCCTCTGTGTGTTCCTGTGTGTGTGCGCGTGTGTGTGCGCGTGTGTGTGTGTGTGTGCGTTTGTTGTGGTCAACAAAAGACAGAGGGAAGGGAAAATAAATAAATAAATCATAGATTAAAGTTTTGACAAGCAGCCATATTAATTGTCACTGTGAAGAAGTTAGTCTTGTTGGAAAAAATAAATGAAGAAAGAAAAAGAAGAAAAAGGAGAAAGAAAGAAAGAAAGTTGTTATAGGAAGTTAAAAAAAAGCAGTGACGTTGAAAATAAAGAAAGATATTGGAAAGTTGAAGGAAAAAAGAAAGAAAAACAAAGATAATAAAGGTGAAAAAGAAAAGATAGATAGCATTTTAAGAAAGAAAGAAACAAAGAAAGAAAGAAAGAAAGAAAGAAATATATTGAAAAGTTGAAGGAAAAACAAGAAAGAAAAACAAATAGTAAAGGTGAAAAGAAAAAGAAAGATAGCATTTAAGAAAGAAAGAAAGAAAGAAAGAAAGAAAGAAAGAAAGAAAGAAAGAAAGAAAGAAAGAAAGAAAGAAAGAAAATTTACACTGGAAAGAAAAAGAAAGGTATTGACAAGTTGAAAGAAAAAACAAAAGAAAAAATAGTAACGGTGAAAAGAAAAAGAAAGCCATCTTTTTATAAAAAGAAAGAAAGACGGAAGGAAGGAAGGAAGGAAGGAAGGAAGGAAGGAAGGAAGGCAAATGAAATGTATTAAAATTTGAAGGAAAAAACGAAGGAAAGAAAAACAAATAGTAACGGTGAAAAAAAAACAAAAGAAAAAACAAAGAATAGTAAATGAGAAAGAAAAAAAAGAAAGAAAGAAAGAAAGAAAGAAAGAAAGAAAGAAAGAAAGAAAGAAAGAAATAAAAAATAATTACGCCGAAAAGAAAAAGAGAGATATTGAAAAGTTGAAGTAAAAAAAAGAAAGAAACAATGATAAAGGTGAAAAGAAAAAGAAAGCTATCATTTTAAAAAAAAAAAAAGAAAGAAAGATTAACAACGTTGAAAAAAATCCCCAATGATTTGAAAAGATGGTAAACAGAAAAGTCAAAATAGTAACGATGAAAAGAAAAGCAATCATGTCATTTTTAATTTAATAGAAAGAATTGTTGATTTGAGTGACTTATGGCATATCAAAAAAAGCGATGATTAGAATTGTAATAAAATATAAACATATGAAATCGAATTTATACATTTATACTTTATTTTTGAGAACTGACAACAAAAATGATAAACACTATTTATGAGATTGTTCATTTAAACTATTTATTTATTTAAATTGTTATTTTAAACTATTTATTTATTAAATTATTTATTGGAATGGTTGACAAAACATTAGTTAATTGCGAATTGATTCAAACTTTATAAAATCATAAATAATAAGCATTTCCTTAAAGTAAATTCACATATTTTAATAATTTAGTAAATGTTTATAAATTTATGAATAAAAAATTGTTCGACCATTTTTTTATAAATTGGTGAATGATAAATATTGCATTGCATTAGTTTTAATAGTATTAGTTTTTAGTTTTATTATGTTGTAAATATAAAATTATTAAAATAAATAATAGTGTTTAATATTTTTGGTATAAATTCTAAAAAAGGATAAACTGTATAAATTCATTTTCATCATGTGTTTAGATTTTATTCCAATTCTAATAATCGCTGTTTAAAAGCGTTTTATTGCGAACACCTTTATCCATGATTGGCAACATTTTGATATTTTATATAAGATCATTAACTTCGGCTTTTGACTAATCTCGATTTGAACATGTGTCGAATGTGATTAATCATATGATATGAAATCCCTAGAGCCGTTTATTACTTAAATTATTGGCATTTTTCTTAATTTACTTAATTCAGATTTCGTCTGAATTTCCGCTGATGAAGTTTTTCAAAAATTATTGATCCATTGATTCGTTTTCTATGGTTTATCAACCTTTTGCAGGTTATTTAAAGCCAGGAAATATTTTTAGGTTCCAAGAAATTTTTTTCGGATTATAATGGTTTCGTGATACAAGTTTTACTAATCAACCCATAGCTTGGGGGGAGAAGAGGTGGATTCATACCTAATCAGAATTTGACAAAAAAACAAGAAATTATAATATTGATATAAAGCGAGGGATTAATTCTATATTACAATTAATATATAAACTGATCCCGCACTTTGTGGCCAAGGTAGATTCTAGATATTTATATTCCAGAAAATGTAAATAAGTCTAAAAGCCATGCCTGTGTAGCTAATCAGTATTTGATTGATTGACTGATTCGTTTTTTACGGTTTGTCAATCTTTTGTAGGTTATTTAAAGAAAGAAAATATTTTTAGATTGTAAGGATTTTCCATTTTTTAGATAATGTTTGAGTGATAAAATTCTTACTAATTAACCCATAGTTAGCGGGGAAAGAGGTCGATTCATGCCTAATCACAATTTGATAAACAAATAAGAAATTATAATATGTATATAAAATGGGGGATCAATTCTATATTTCATTATATAAACTGATCCCCATTTTTGTGGTCAAGATAGTTTCTATACATTTATATTCCAAAATAAGTAAATAAATCAAAAAGTTAAATTACTAATTAACCCATAATTGGGAGGAGAAGATGTGGCTTCATAACTTTCCCAAGGATATTTGTACTTGCGTGAATATAACGGACACAAACGTGAATTGGAACTTGGCTCTCCCATTAACAATTCCAAGCCATTATCCATTACACCACCCGCACATCTAAGCTTGTTATTGAACTCACAACTCTTTGCGTCTATAAAGACGTTGGTTAGATCCAGTGACTAGACCCAAAGAGTTGTGAGTTCAATTCCAGGCTACAGCAGTGGTGAACCAAAACTTGGAGTGTTGAGTTGAAGGGAAATATCTACGACATTCGGAAGAGGCATGACACGTGGAACTAGAACAATCTACCCTAGTGGACGAAATAAAGGGTTCGGTTCGAAATTCCAATCACCCGAAGAAGGCCAGAGTGTACAACGGCCGAAACGTTGTGAATATGGCAATGCAGATGAGGATAACAGTCCGAATAATGGAAATAATGCAAGTAATCATAATACCTCATCTCAAAGATATAGTTCAAAATTCTAATCACCTTAAGATAGCCAGAACATACAACGGCCGAAATGTTATGAATATAGCAATGAAGATGAGGATAACAGTCCAAGTAATGTAAATAATGCAAGTAATCTTAGTACCTAATCTCAGTGATATAGACAGATATTGAAGGCTGGAGTATACAACGATCGAAACGTTGTGAATATGGCAATGAAGATGAAGTTAATAGTCTGAGTAATGTAATTAATGCAAGTAATCATAATACCTCGTCTCAGAGATATATTTCGAAATTCCAATCACCTGAAGAAGACCGGAGCGTACAACGACCGAAACGTTGTGAATATGCCAATAGAGATGAGGATAACAGTCCGAGTAACATATACATCATGCAATATAGTTCGAAATTCAAATCACCTGAAGGAGGCTGGAGAGTCCGAATGATTTAAATAATGCAAGTAATCATAATATTTTATCATAGATATATAGTTCAAATTTCCAGTTTCCTGAAGAAGGCCGGGGCGTACAACGGCCAAAAAGTGGTGAATATAGCAATGGAGATGAGGATAACAATTCGACTAATGTAAATAATGCAAGTAATACTCCATCCGCGTCCTGGATAAGACGATAAACTACGTCCAGCAGCAAGGAGGTTTTGAGGAGCGTGGAACCACCTCTTAATTGCTAGTGTTCCCAGGTCCACCCTGGCCCGGGGTGGTAACCACCAGCTATGGGCAAATAGTTAACTATTACCAGCAATACTTTTTTGAAAAAAATTATTACCAGTAATCCAATTTTGAAATAAAAATATTACCAGAAACACATCTTTTGACAAAACAAAATATTACTAGCAATAAAAAATGTTGTCAGCATTAAATAACCCATTGAGGTTGATATGCCCTAAAACAAAATAAACCAAACCAATCTAAACCAAAGAATACATATTCTATTCATACGAATCTATCCTAAAAATGTTGTCGGCATTAAATAAACCCATTGTAAAAAAAAAATAAACCAAACCAATCTAAAGCAAAGAATACATATTCTATTCATACGAATCTATCCTAAAAAAATAAAATAAACATTGAGGTTAAACTGAAAAAAATAAACCAAACCATTCTAAAGCAAAGAATACATATTCTATTCATACGAATCTATCTAAAAAATGTTGTAGGCATTAAGTAACCCATTGAAGTTGATATGCCGAAAACAAAATAAACCAAACCAATGTAACCCAAAGAATACATATTCTATTCATACGAATCTATTCTAAAAATGTTATAGGCATTAAATAACCCATTGAAGTTGATATGCCGTAAAACAAAATAAAATAATGTAAGTAATCATTATATTTCATCTCAGAGATATAGAGGCCGAAACGTTGTGAATATGGCAATGAAGATTGAAGATAACAGTCCGAATAATGTAAATAATGTAAGTAATCATAATACCTCATCTCAGAGATATAGACAGATATTTAACAAAATATAATAACAAGCGTAAGTGTGAGCGCAATTCGTTATTTAAAGAAGTAAGAGGGTACAAATAAAAATATTTGCAATTGTGAACATTTTTCATTTCACTGAAGTAAACGTTAAACACGACTGGGTTATAGTTTACTCTTTCTTCCTTTTTCTCACTGAAATGAAACAATGTCTATGGGACGTCTCTTCTGCCTTTCCTATCGATCAAAGCGGAATAGACCATTATTTTTTAGGTATTGGTAAGGCATAATGTACACGCTAACTGAAGGAACGAGCAGGATTATGATAATCAACTGTATCTTGTTTCCACCATTATGCTTTCCCTCGATTTCGTAGTGATTAGGTAACTATTGTTGTTATATAATACCTTTTATTTACATATAAAAGCTATCTGGAAAGAAAGAAAGAAAGAAAGAAAGAAAGAAAGAAAGAAAGAAAGAAAGAAAGAAAAGCAAATTTAAAAATAAAAGGAAGGCAAAAGAAAGAAAGAAAGAAAGAGAACAAACGAAAGAAACACTGGAGAAAGGTTTCAAGAAAGAAAGAAAGAAAGAAAGAAATGAAGCAATGATCGGTTTCCTTTGAAATTTTTCGTCTCGAAATGAAAGCCGTCATTAATGAATAAAATAATTCTTTGGGTGTCATAAGACAACTGCCTTTGAAGGTAGAAATGACGGCCATACTGGAAGCTGAGGGGGAAAAAGGGCCTGAAAAAAAATGGGACAACTTTGACGGATCATGACAGACATTTTCATCACAACCCTCCCCGCCAGATTGCTAGCCAACCTTGTGTCTGTGCCAAGCGCATGAGTCGGCCCACCTTTGAAAACAAAACAAAAAATTATAGATACGTCAGAATTCGTATCGGGGCAAGGTTGAACCCAGTTTATTTGTTTTGGGTGGTGGAAAGAGTTGCATACGGGTGGAGGAGGGGGGCAATGTAGAGACGAATGTGGGTCATTGGTCGCTGGGAGCAATGCCGGGAATAAAACTGGTTTTTCGTTTATTTTATTTTCAAAGAAAAATCAGAAAGACAAAAAAAGAAAGAATATGTTTTTCTTTCTCTTTCTTCTCTTTTTTTCTCTTTTTCTCTCATTCTATTTTTTATAGTTATCGTTGCTATCATTTTTATCCACCAGAATTTTAATTTTGACCTTTTTCAACTGTTAATATTTTTCTTTCTTTCTTTCTTTCTTTCTTTCTTTCTTTCTTTCTTTCTTTCTTAATCTATTTATCTGTCTGTCCGTGATCTTTCTTTCTTTCTTTCTTTCTTTTCTTTTCTTTTCTTTCTTTTCTTTTTCTTAATAATATATATTTGTCTGTCCGTGATCTTTTTTCTTTCTTTTCTTTTTTTTTTTCTTTCTTTTCTTTCTTTTTCTTTCTTTTCTTTCTTAATCTATATATTTGTCTGTCCGTGATCTTTCTTTCTTTCTTTTCTTTCTTTCTTTCTTTCTTTCTTTCTTTCTTTCTTTCTTTCTTAATCTATATATCTGTCTGTCCGTGATCTTTCTTTCTTTCTTTCTTTCTTTCTTTCTTTCTTTCTTTCTTTCTTTCTTTCTGTTGCCTTCCGTCCTTTTATTTTTCCATTTGCTTTTCTTTTCCAATTCTTTCTTTCTTTCTTTCTTTCTTTCTTTCTTTCTTTCTTTCTTTCTTTCTTTCTTTCTTTCTTTCTTCTCATATTTTCTTTTTCTTTTTCATTTTCTACTTTTCTGTAATCTTTCCTGTTTTCTTTTTTCCTCTTCACTTTTTGTATCATTTTCTTTTTTTCTTATCCATTTTTTTAACTTTATTTTTTATTCTATTCCCTTTTCCTTCTTTTTTTCCTTTGCTCTTATTCCCCCTCTTCTTTTTCTTCATTTCTTTTTTCGCCTGCTTCTTCGTTTTCTCCTTTCTTCTTCATCACTTTTTCTTCTTTCACATTTATCCCCTTTTTCTTCATCTTTCTTTCCTTTCCCTTCTTCTTTTATTCTTTTTTCTTCGTTTTCCCTTTATAATCTTCCTTTTTTTTTTTTATTCTATTTTCTTTTCACCTCTTCATTTCATCTTTTTTTCCTTTTCTTTTCCTCTTCATCATCTCGTCGTTTTTTCTTCTATCCGCCTCTACTTCTAACCTTCTTTTTCTTTCATTGGCTTCTTCTCGTTTTTCATTCTTCTTCGCCTTATTCTCGTTCTAGTCCTTTTTTGTTATTCAAATCACTTCCTTCTAAAATTATTCTTTTATTCCTATTTGATACTTGCCACGATCTTTTATTTTTCTTATTTTTGCTCGTTCTTATAATAATTAATTATCTTTTAAAACTACGTTCGCTTTCATTTTTGATTTTTTTTTCTTTATCCTTTTCATATATTTTCTTTTGTTCCTTATTGTTTTTCTTTCCTTCTCTTTTCTTCTTTATTTTTTTTCTTCTTTTCTTCCTATTCTTCATTTCATTTTTCTTTCACTTCTCTTTTGAATCGTCTTCTTTTTCTTTTCCTTCATTTTATTTCTTTGCTACTTCCGGGTTTTTTTTCTTCTCATTCTATTTCTTTTTTTTCTTTTTTTTGTTATTCAATCACCTTTAAAAATCATTCATTTAATTCCATATGATTCTTTTCCTAATCCTTTTTCGTTCTTTAATATTTCTTTCTCCTACTTATATTTTTAGCATTTTTTCTAAAAATGTCATAATTACCATGATTTAATTTTTTTTATTTTGAGAAGAGAATTTCCCTCTTTTTTTGAAAAAAATAATATTTGCTTTTCCTTTTCTTTTTTCTTTTCAACACTTTCAAAATCTTTCAACACTTCTTCTGCAAATATTTTTTCTTTCGTTCTCTTCTTCGTCAGATAATTTTTCATTTCAACTCATCCTTAAATTTCTTTCAGTTTCTTCATATTCTTTTTCTTCTTTACAATTCCCCTCCTTTGCAATTTCTTCTTTTTCTTCTTCTTCTTCTTTATCGTTTAACACATCTTCTTCCTATTTCTCCTTTACCCCGATCTCTTCTTCTGCTTCTTCTTCTTTACCCCTTATCTTTTATACTTCTCTATCATTTCCTTCTTCTTCTTCTTCTTCTTCTTCTTCTTCTTCTTCTTCTTCTTCTTCTTCTTCTTCTTCTCTATTATCCCTTATCTCTTTTTTTCTTCTTCTTCTTCTTCTTTTTCTTCTTCTTCTTCTCTATCCCTTATTTCTTTTTCTTCTTCTTTACCCCTTCTTCTTCTTCTTCTTCTTCTTCTTCTTCTTCTCTATCGTTTAACACTTCTTCTTCTTTACCCCATAATTCTTCTTCTCTACCCCCTTCTTCTTCTTCTTCTTCTTCTTCTTCTTCCTTGTATTATTTACGCAATTCTTAGGATACATTTTTTTTATTCCTTTAATACTAAAAGATCTTTTTTAGCATCTTCGAATTCTTTCTTCGTTTTTATTTGTTTGTTTTTATATTTGTTTTCTTTATGGAGCGGGGAGGGAGAAACATTATTTCTTTCTCCTGTAGTTTTTCTCTACCCTTCAAATTTCTCGTCTGTCAGATAAAACGCTACTTGGCATCAATTTCCCATCCAATTATATCATTAAAACATTTTTCGTATTTTCAAACTGTTTGCGAATATTTTTAGAATAGAAATTTTCTGCGGTATTATTTCTTCCTTTATTTTTATTTAGCCCTGAAAACATTTTTTTTTAATTTTATTGAAACTGTTATTAATGTTTCCTATTTTGTCGTCTGCCTAATGAATGTGTTAGCGTCTTCCGGATACAAGAGTAACACAAAAGCATGAGTTTGTGGTGACGTAAGAATTCGTCATTCGTCTCGTCTTTCCTAAAGATGCCGACTCACAGACTCGGATTGTTACTCGCTCCACGGAGCCGAAGCGATTCTGGGAAATCATCCATTAGAAGCTGGAAGCTATTTCGCTTAATTTGTTTGTTTATTTATTTTAAAAAATGGTGACTTCGCCATATTTTAAGTCACTTCATTTAACTGATCGCAAAAGAATGGATGTAGATAATGTTTGTGCTTATTCAAAAAGCAGAGGTGGTTGAGGCAGTAGATATAGTCTGCACTCTTTCATTTGACTCTTCGTTCTTTTTCTTTCTTTCTTCTTCTTCTTCTTCTTCTTCTTCTTCTTCTTCTTCTTCTTCGTCTTGAAAATTCATATTTCTTTCATTTCTTCCTCCGACATCTTGAAGCACACACACTCATGTATACTCTTACAATATATATATATATATATATATATATATATATATATATTGATGCATGTTTCATTAAATAATATAGACAAGTTTTTTGTCTATTTATTTTAAGATAAGTTCCATTTCAATATATCAAACAAACGGACGAAACAATGGTTGATATATTGAAATGTAAATGTCATCTTTGATAATGTTTTAATGGAATCCGAAAGCTTTTAGATTGAATTTAAACATGTATCAATATGGTGACTTTGGTCTTTCAATGATAAAACATTGTTTATCAGACAATATGAAAGGAACTTATTTAAAATAAATAGACAAACTTGTCTATATTATTTAATGAAACATGCATCAATGAAAAATTGCTACCTAAATATACACATATATATATATATATATGTGTGTGTGTGTGTGTGTGTGTGTGTGTGTGTGTGTGTGGTGTACTCTACCGTCGTATTCGACGTATGAGGGTCAAGCAGCTCAGTTCCTAGGAACCGACAGCCCAGACACCAGCACATATGAGCTGATTATAGTGGTGAAGGCTTTGTGCAGAACCAACCACACTTTTTGAAGGGCTGAATACAAAGACCTGGTGAACATGGTCCCCAAACGGCCCCGCGGCTTTTGAATTCAGAGTTGTCTTTCTCCTAGATCAGTTGCCATCCAAAGCTATAGAACCCTAAATAGAATGTAATAAACTCGACTGGAGTATATATTTATATATATATATATATGAAACAATTTATTCAAATTATTAAATAGCAATGTTAATGTGATTAATACCGAAATCACTTCGCTAACAGAACTTAATGAGACATTAACTTACTCTCAATTCCTTGAATTATAAGATCCTCATAATCGAGTTGTCGTTAGATGGAAGACACGTGCCAAGTACTTTCGACAATTTCAAATTGTCATCTTCAGGGCGCAATTTTCCCATACATAGGCAAACAATCGAAATATGTGTAGACTGACAGATTTTTTTTTCAAATTACGTTTTTTATTGACTGATGTTCCCCTGTTAATACGAGCACGTATGTGGTTCATGCATGATGAGACTTCAGCACATTTTAGTCACATTGTTCCCAATGCACTGGCTGACAATGAAAGATGGATATGTAGTGAAGGAGGAGGTCCATAGCCTGCACGATCCCCCACCCTCAATTCTTTCGATTTTTATATGCGGGGCCACCTTAAACAATTGGTTGATGCAGCAAATATTAATAGTGAAGAGATGTTTATTCAATATGTCATTAGTGGGGGGGTGCAAAACTATTTGACAACGTATTTGAAAGGGTCCGCCAGTCAATGATTCGACGGGTACATGCGTGTCGAGAAACAAGCGGAAGACATTTTGAACAATTGTTATGAGTTGCTGTGTTGAGATACAACAATGACCTTTTGAACATATGTTGATATAGACTTTTGTTCCCATTTTGGTGTGAGGAACCTGTTTTCAAATTCTGTAAAGTCATTTTTGATAGACCCTATATATATATATATATATATATATATATATATATAAAGACATTTTATGTTTATACATTTTTTTTATAGACAACAAATATTTAAGTAAATGTTTGTTTATAATAAATAGTACAGAAAAACAACATTTACCGGCCTGAATTTCGAGAATTTTCAGTTAGAAAATATTAGTCCTCCGACAGGAATCGAACCTGTAAATATACGGAACCGCCATAGTTTGACGTACCTTAACCATTTCGGCCACAGAGGAGCGTTCAGTTAGCAAGGTCGATTTTACTGTTTTTAAACTACAATCTTCCAT